CCCCGCGTGTCCCCCTGTATCTGCCCAGGTTTAGCTCAGTTCGCTGGACAGTTGGTTTGTAAAGCAGTGTGATGCCAAAAGCCTGGATTCAAATCCCATCACCGGCTGAAGTTACCGTGAAGGACTGGCCTTCTCAATCACCACCAGTCATCTCTGTCTCCTATGATAGAGCAGCTGAATGGTCTGCTAAGATTATGGTGACTTGATCTGTCCTCTTTCCTCTCTTGGTAGGGTATCTGGTCATTCCCAATATGTATCTGATCTGGTAGTGGTGTCTGCATCTGCCTGTACTCGCAATCTGTATGTGCCTCCTCATCTGTTACGTATTGGCCCCCATATCTCAATCTGTGTCTGCACCCCTGGTCTGTATCTGAGCCTGTATCTCTCCCCCCGTATCTGCCCTCCCCATCCTTTGTATTTGGTCCTGTATCTGTCTTCGGCTCCTCCCCGCACCCCCCATCCAAACAAATGTGTGTTGGTTCTTCAATCTGTCTGATCTGTAGCCTGTACATGGATCTGTGTCTGCCCATGGATTTGTGTTTAATCATGTAACTGTCTGTTATGGTTATTGAGTCATAGCCCTATGGCACAGAACAGACCCTTTGGTCCAACCATAATCCCAAACTAAACTAATCGCACCCGCCTGTGTATATGCTTGTATCTCTCTCCTTGGATCTATATCTTCCCCTGGAGCTGTGTTTATTCCTGAAACTATATCTACCCTAACTGAGATAACAAGGTGTAGAGCTGGATGAACACAGCAGGCCAAGCAGCGTCAGAGGAGCAGGAAAGCTGACATTTTGGGTCTGGACCCTTCTTCAGAAAATGTCTACCTGAATCCTACCTGAATGTGTCTATCCCTGTGTCTTTCCTCCTGGATCAGTGTCAGCCAATGTATCTCCCTCCTCAAATTTGTCTTTGGCTCCCTTGATTTTTATCTGCTCTTTTAGATTCATCTGCTTTGGATCTGCTCCTGAAACAAGCCTTTATCTATAACTGTATCTGCCCATGTCTGTTGCTGCCTTAGATCTATGTCTGCCCTGGATCAGTGTCTGCTAGTGTAACTTTATCTGCCTGTATTCTCCCCCCTGACTGGGATCTACTTCTGTATCTGTGCGTGCTCCTGTATTAGCCCCATATCTGAATCTGCCTGTAGATCTAGATCTTCCTGTAGATTTGCCCTGGATCTCTTCCTGCCTCTGCACCCCCACCCCAATATCTGAAACTGACCCCGTATGTGTGTGAATGCCCTGGAGTAGTGTGTGTTACTGAACTGTTTCTGAAGCATTGTTTTTGATTTTTAGTTTCCTCCTTTGAGCAGGGATATAGTTGCATTGGAGTTAGTACAGAGATTCTCAAGATTGATTCCAGAGGTGAGGGGTTTGTCTTGTGAAGAGAGGTTAAGCAATTAAGGCCCATCTTTGCTAGAGTTGGGAAGAATGAGAGCAGATCAAATTGAGGTATACAAGATACTAAAGGGCATTGACAAAGTAGACATAGTGTGGAGGTTTCCCCTTGTGGCTCATATTTTTAGGATTAGAGGTAGCAGGTTTAAACTGCATGTGAGAAGTAATTACTTGCTTCAAATGGTCACGAATTGGTGGAATTCACTATCCCAGAGTGCACTGGATGCTGGGACACTGAATAACCATAAGGAGGAGAGACAGATTTCATTTCTAACAGGTTAAAGAGTTGTGAGGAATGGGCAGGTAGGTGGAGTTCAGGCTGAGAGGAGATCAGCCATGATTGTATCAAATGGCGGAGCAGACTCAAGGGACTGAGTGGCCTACTCTTGTCCTGGTTTATATGTTTGTAATTGTGAGCAAGAGACATTGCATCATTCATCCTTGACTCAGTCTGCTTGTGAACATCAAGGGATGGTGTGCATAAAGTTCACTGTGATTATTCAATCGTGTTCTCTATTGACTCAGTGATAGTAAGTCAGTAGGCTTTGTCCCTGAATGCAGTGGCTGCAGGGTACATGCTGTCTATCATCAGCAATGGGGCTATTAACGTACTGAGCCTACTCTTCATGGGACTGCCCTCTGTGGGTTAAATACACAGTTGTAATCCAAAATGGCCAGTATGTTCTCAACATTAAGTGGCACTGGAACTACAGTCTGGGGGAGAAGTACGACACTTCTGTTTATAACATATGCATTCTGCTTCATAACTGTGGGCATTTGCGAACCTAGGTATTGGTGTGTTTTCACAATCACTTAGGACTGTATCTGTTATTTGTACCCTGTCGGAGCAGTGCCTTGTCATTTGTTGTACTGGGCCTCCTTCAGCTGTGTTTTGAAGTGTATAGTGGCAGAGCATTCGATGCTGTATGAAGTCATCAGCAGATATTGCCCTTTGTCACCACAGAGCTCAATGCAGAAAGGGAACACACTGACTGGATTGCACTTTGCAAGGATCTGGGCATACTCAGTGGGCTGACTGACCTTCTCCAGCATTCTTGGATAAAATTGGCACAAATTGCAAGGGCACTTCGCATCTTCACTGAGGGTGACACAGTGGAAGGCAAGTGCATGCCTAATACGATGCTGAGAAAGATGCACCTGAGTTCAAGTTCCACTTGCTGGAGAGGTGTCTTGTAACATATTAACAAGTTGATTTATTAAAAAAATCTGCTTCTGAAGTGTAACTCTGTGGTTACGTATTAGTTCATTTGTCAGGAGCTACTTGTCAAAGTCTGATGGTGTGAGACATTTCTGTGGAGGGATAGACTACAAATACACCTGGATTTTAATGAAGGTATGACCCCTTGTTTTTCAACTCCTTAAGCCCCACAGTACAAGTCAACTTGGGTGTTCCCCAGAACTTCTTTCCTTTTTTGGGTTTCTGTGTGTCACTGATGTTGCTTGACAGTCAATGGGTATGTTTGATTATCTGTGATACAATTTGCATACAGAATGCAAGTAACTTTAATCTTGTTTAAATTTCTTGACTGACAGTCTGCAGGAATGTTTCTGTAAATTTCATTCTGATTTGTTTTCATGTCATTGTGGAACCTGTGCCTGAAGATTTACCAGGGTTCATTTGACAGCACCTTCCAGACCTGCAGCCTCTACTACAGAGAAGGATAATGACAGCAGATACACGGAAACACTACCTTCCACGTCCTCCTCAAGCCACACGCTGTTTTAGACTGTCACTTGGTCAAAATCATGGAACTCTCTCCCTAACGGGAGGAATGAGGACTGCAGCACTTTGAGATGGTGGTGTGCTGTCACTTTCTCAAGGGACTGGCCTCCTTACTATAAAACAAAACATTTTTATTAAAAAACGAAATTGCCTGCTCAATGATTTTGATCGTCACCTGCTTACAGAAAAGATCCAGTTTTGAGTCCTGTAAGGATTATGCCCCAGTTTAAACATTAAAGATCTGATTATAGAGCTGACCTCGCCCAAACAAACTTAATAGCAGTTCTAATGGTGATGAGACTGCCAGTATGGCTGCCTTCTGTTTTTCATTTGAGGTAGGAGTGATTTGGCTTTTGGTTAACTGTTAAGGCATGAACAAAGAAGGGAGATAGTTACGCTTGTATGTGTTCACTTTTTCAGTTGCTGTGTACTGTTTCAGTTTTATACTTTTCATCCTTGTTTTCAGATTTTTCCCAATCTCTGTAACTTCTTCAGCTCTGCAGCCCTCCAAAGTATCTGCACTCCTCCAATTTTGGCCTAGTTGCTAGTTTTCGTTACTGTGTCATTCGTGGCCAGGTTTCAGCTGGTGAGAGTCTGAGCCTGAGAATGCCCTCCATTGCACAGCACTCTCTCCTTTATGACTCTGACCAAGCTTTTGCTTAGCTATCTTCAACTCACTCTTTGCTGTGGCTTGCTGTGAAATTGTGTTTTATTCTTCCATGGAGCACATGCCAGTCTGCTAGGGATGTTACATAAATGCAGATTGTTTATTTGTTTGTTTTGTTTGTTTGTTTGTTTTCAAATCGTGTGGTCTAAAGCCAGCCATTTTTCATTATTGCCTGCCTCCTGCACAGTTTGCACTGCATTTTGCGGTTCAGTTAATATTACATGGCCCTCCTCTTGTGTGGAAGAGTACCCTGATCCACTGTTTGTTTTGGTTTTTCATTGCAATTCAGTTGGTATCTTAGTAGTGCAGAGCTTTAGTCTTGCTGGGGGTGGGGGGACAAAAAGATGTACAGGTGAAGGTTTTCATTTCTTTCTGAAACTTGTCCTGAAGATGAAAAGATTCAATAGCAAATCTCTCTTCTACAGTAATATCCAATCTCATTGTTGTTCGTTGGGACGGTGTTTAGGCTTGGGAGCTCACACTGCTGGTGAAGGCTGGAGTGATGGTTCATGAAGTGCTGCATGACACAGTCAGTGAATGACTGTGAATTCAATCCTGAAGAAGTGTCAATCAATCTTCCTGTATCTGATTTCAAATACTTGGTCCTTCTGCTTTCACTCAGGAGTCTTATTGTTGGCTTGAGTGTATTGACAGTTTCGTGATGTGCCTCAGCTCTCCTCCTCTCTCCTTCCTGACTATTTCCAAGGTGTTCCGAACTCTAAAGATGAATAGGTTGGATTTGTTGTAGTTCAGTGATCAGTTGTGATGACGTTCAGAAACAATGTTTGCTGCCTTGAGGTAATGTTAGGTGAAGTTAACTGAGGTGTAGACAGCATGATTTGGGTCCTAACAAGGTTGCTCATCAACTTTGAACTGAGAATGGAAATCCAAAGCTTAACTGCGTTTTTTAGAACTCGCGCCTCTGGATCACCTGCTCCAGTTCTACCCCAGAGAGTAGAGCGAGATTTCTGTTAGGTTGTTCAACCTATAGGATACTACAGAGTGCTTCAGAGACGATGAAGTACTTCTGAAATGTAGTCGCCAGATAAGGAAATGTATAGCGAGCTGTAACTAATGGGCAGTTCGGTAATGCTAACCAGGTAATTTGATTTCAGTGGTGTTGGCTGAGTGATAAATATCAGACAGGTAACTGGGGAGACCTTTCCTGATCATCTTTGGAAAAAAAGTGCTGGGTGATCTTTCAGATCAACTTGAGGGAGCAGGCGGGTCATTGTCCTGACCCTGATATCTTGGGTATTGTGGCATTCCCTCGAGAATACGTTTGGTATCAGCCAACATTATTGAGTTCAGGACAATGGAATGGCTCTGAAATCCACTGCTTTCTGATTTAAAGAAGGAAGACCCACAGTTCACATTAAGGCAAAAGTTGAATGGGGACCCTCCATTCAGAGGTTGCATCTGCTATGTGTGGACTCGGCCAGGTGTTCTGTCAGACTCTGGGTCTGTGTTACTGCACTCCACCTCCAACCAACAACAAGTACTCTAAGAAAGTGAGGCTTGATGAAATTGGCACCGTGCCTTCCGAGAGTGATTGTGCAGATTTCAGTGCGTGTGTCTCTCTTGTCTTTTAATCTGGAGGCTGAGATTGCAAAACAGTGATGAAAATATCCTGGTCTTAGTTTAATTAAGATGTTTGCTCATGATGTAAGAATGCAGTAATCAGGAAATACCCAGTGTTTGAATCTTAAATAATACCGGGTTCAGAGTTCACAGTAAATCCAATTGCATTTTCTTTCTGTTCCTCCACCGTCTGGATTGTAGTACCAGTAATAGATCTTAACTTAATCTGTGTTGACTGTTTGGGTTCTGAATAGAAAGTTTGTCAGAATTGTCAGATGGAACAGCCAGCAGTAAAACACTGGCCAAGGAAGGAATGCTGGAAGTTGCAAGAGTGTAAATGGCATGTTTTTGAGGAATGTAAAGTGAGCAGGCTCAAACTTAGTGAACTGGACACTGTAACAGTTGTTAGATAACAAGGTGTAGAGCTGGATGAACACAGCAGGCCAAGCAGCATCTTCCTGCTCCTAT